CATAGAGGTACCTTTACGAGAAAGTGCAAAAATAGCTCGGAGCTCTCCCATGGAGGTGCGAGGGCCTTCGCCTTCTGGCGATGAAAACATGGCTGAATAGGCTGCCGAGAGAAATGGTTTTCCTGATGACGAGGATCAAACTTTGCCTTTGGAAATACAAAGGACAGAGCAAAACTCCCTTACACATGGTGAAGCTTCAACAGAGGGGGGGTCCCCACTTTCTCCCTCGATAGACTTGCATACATCTAGAGACCTCCCTGAGTCTCGAACTAAGACCCATATGGTGGATGCCGTGGGTACCCAATCGAGACAGTCCACACCTCCTATTATTGAGCAAACTACAACAGGCTCAGGGGGTGAATAAGTTGTTGCTCAAATAGAACAGGCCTCGCGCCCATTCAGTGAGCCAACTTTGGGAAGTGAGCAAATCGCTGATAGTGGCGCGAGAACACATGCTGCTGGTGCGGAGGTGGAATGGATGGGCATGCCTCTCCCTCGGGCCTATGTATAGCTCCTCGAGATGGCTCTCGCGCACCACCCTGAGGTGTCCCAATTTCTATCATCGCGCCATGCATATGTACGACAATCTATGTTTTTATGCCTTGGTAACATTTTAGAGATTTTTATGAAAATTGAACAGGGCTTGACCAATGAAAACCTCGTCAAAGAGGCTACACTCCTATTGGATGATGTTCAGAGGCTCGAGGTTCCTGTTTCATAGCTGCGAAAATGACTATATGTGGCTAAGAAATGTCTCCAGCAGCGATTGCTCGCACCACGCCTTCAGGAAACACGAGCTCACATTGAAAAGTTGGAGGGGGAGCTCGCACGGGAGCGAGAAAGCTTGGCGGTGATGGTGGTATACTCACAGGAGCTCGACGATGATTACTCACTGTTGTCCTCGTATGCGGACTAGACTCGTAGGTTGCTTTTTTGTTATTGATGTATGTAAGAGTCGAGCACTCCACAATTGTAATTAAAAAAAACATTGAATGAGAAAAGCTGTGATTTTCTTTCTCTTTTGTTTGTTCTCTCTCTTGCCATGATTTAATTTTCCATAAATGTGAGGCATGCACCAAACTAAATAAGAAAGACAAATTTTCGTTTGGGATAACCAAGCTTAACAAAAGTAGGACTTCAGCCAGGCATTGTTAATAGGGTTGTGATCAGAGCCCTCGAGTGTGCAATAACCACTATCACTAGATGTTCTGACAATATAGAGACCCTCCCAATTAGGTGAGAACTTGGGGGCTGAGAAACCTTGCATAATGTGTGGGGCAGCTTTAAGAACGAGCTCGCCTGGTCTGAACTGTCAAGGTTGGACATGTTTGTTGTATGCTCGCACTATGCTGCGCTGATATTGCTGGAGATGCTGCAGGGCTGCCTCGCGTTGCTCATCGAGGGCTTTCAATTTGTTATCTCGAGACATGGGAATCCCACTTCGCGACGCTGCAGGGGTTCTTTTTTTTTTTTTTTTTTTTAACTAGGTAGTAAACAATAATATAATGGTAATATCAGGAATACAAATACGAAGGAAAACAGAGGAGATGCTCAGTGTAGGAGGAGAAGAAGAAGATAAAGATAAAGATAAAGATAAAGATAAAGATGATGGTAGGGCAAGTATACAATATCTTATGACAGCTTCCTCTTCTGGGGTTGGTTATTCCTTCATAAGACAGTACTACTTATAGATCCGGATTCCATTGGTTATTATCCAACGGTCCCTTCCGTGCATGGTTCCTCTCATGCATTACCCCCAATCTAGATTACGTGAGTAATCCTAGAGATTTAGGAGTCTGAAGTAGGGGTGCACAAAAAAACCCGAACCGTGGGAACCGGAACTGTTTTTACCGGTTCTTACGGTTTCAGTTCCGGTCCCGGTTCCAAATTTAGGAACCGTGGACATATGGTTCCGGTTCTGGTTCCAGCCCGTAGGAACCGGTAGGAACTGGAACCGTGTATATATATATATATATATATATATATATATATATATATATATAGTTTTTATATATATGTATTTTATGTTTAATTTTATACTAAAAAGAAGTAAAGATAAGTTCTGGACGAGTGGACCTTAGACAGACACGTGAAAAAAAAACATATTTTTTTAGTTTTTTAACTTTTTTTTGCCCTAAATCTCTCACACTCTCTCTCAGTCATCGCCAGTCATCTCCTCTCTAATTCTCAATCTCTCATCTTAGGGTTTGACGAAGTGACGAACCCAGCTAACCCTCGCCTCCAGCCTCCTCTGAAGTCTGACCTCTCAAGGCTCTCATCGCCTTCGCCTCCTCTCAAGTCTCATCTAAAGCTTCCTCATCGATTTAGTCTTCATCGTCCTCGCCATCTCAGATTTCATCATTAATCGTCTCCGATCTCAGATTACTCGGTAAGTCCTTAATCGATCTGTCACTTTCATCTTAGATCTCTCATCAGTCATTCATAATTTCATCCTCACTCCCATCTCAGATTTCTGAGTCAAATGAATCCTCCAATTGTCTCAGACAACGACACGGTCACAGACTCACACGGCTTCTCCGATCTACACGCATGCACCATCTCAAATTTTCTATATTCTGTATTTATTTATATTTATATTTTTTATAATATATTAAGTATTTTGCTATTACTGTACTATTTGTAGTGATGATGGTTTGAACATTGCAATTGTTTCGTCTAACCAATGAACCTATGTTGTCTTAATACAAGTACTGTTTGGTTCACTAATTATGTTTTGACTATTCGATTAAAATTCTCTCATTTGTTCGAAGGGCAGTTTATTGGGTTAAGGAGTTCAAATTTCAGGTACTGTGCTTTAAATCAGATGCTAAGATTGTTGTTGTTTCCTTGGCCGGGATGTGTGTGTGCCCCATCGAAATTGCTTCATTAATTTATGACATTCAGTTAATGTTGCAATTCCTGTCATGGTACTCGGTAAATCATGTTAACGGTTCTCATGGAACCGAACCGGTTCTACGGTTCGGTTCCGATTCGGTTCCATGCTATACGGTTCCGGTTCCGGTTCCGGTTCCAGTTCCGGTTCCGTTTTAAAGGAACCGTCGTGAACGGTTCCGGTTCCGACCGGAACCGTGTGCACCCCTAGTCTGAAGGGTCTAATCCTTTCCTCGAGCCTTGTCCTATATTGCCATGTCATTTCTCCCTTAATCAGAGGCATTAAATGTTGCTTAGCCGTCGATTGGTCAAGCCTGACACAGCATTAATTGTGATTTTAAGGCTTGCTATCATAACATGTATAATTCCATCGTCTTGTTAATTGGGCCTTGCTGAGAGTGAAGGTACCTCTTGACTTCTCATCCACCAATCCAAGATCCTCCTAAGTTTTCTAATCATAGATTCCCTATAGCCGCGAAGATCCTACCTTCGTCTCGCGCTATACGCAATCCCCTGATGGCGTAACACCAGGACTTGGGGTATTCGAGAGTTGGTCTCTCGAGGCTTGATAGGCCTAGTGTGGTGCCAGGGTTTAGAGTGCTCGAGGATCAGCTTCTCGAGGCTTGATGGGCCTGGTGCGATTCCAGGGCTTAGAGTGTTCGAAGTTTGATTTCTCGAGACTTGTTGGGCCTGAAGCGATACTAAGGCTTAGAGTGCTCGAAGTTTGATCTTTTGAGACTTGTTGGGCCTAGAGCGATGCCAGGGCTTACAGTGCTCGAAGTTTGATCTTTCGAGACTTGCTGGGCCTAGAGCGATGCCAGAGCTTGATAGGCCTGGAGCGATGTCAGGGTTTAGGGTGCTCGAAGTTTGATCTTTTAAGACTTGCTGAGTCTTAAGTGATGCCAGGGCTTAGGGTGCTCGAAGTTTGATCGTTCGAGGCTTGCTGGACCTGGAGCGATGCCAGGACTTAGGGTGCTCGAAATTTGATCCTTCGAAACTTATGACTTTTCAAATTGCCACGGAAGATTTGGCTAGGGCCATATTGACTTGTCAACATGTCACGTCAGCTTCTAATAAGTGACACCCACATAAGTCAATAACATTTTACTAATAATAAATCAAGGGATAGAAGTACTTCCCTGCGTTCCTGCCTTTCAAAGTAGAGTCTCAACTACCAAAAAGAACTGCAGTGCAACCTAGACTACCTAATCTTTAATATATTCTTTTACCTCTTAAATGGAAACGTGAATATATATATATATACACTACCAAGGAGAACTTATAAGCAAATAATAATAATAATAGTCTAACAATAATTAGTTAATATTTAATTATCCATATATTTGAATGAATAATACTTATATATATTTAAGAGTGGGGATGTATTCTTTTATTGTATTAATAGTTGTTGCAAAGAAATGCGTATGTTAATGGAACCAACTCCTCTCTCCTTCTCAACTCATAAGGAACGGTTCCAATCCTCTATAAATATGTAATAAAATGATATGCCTCTCTTTTTCTCCCTTCATAAAGAAGGCCCCAACCCTCAATAAATATGCAATAAAAGGATCTAAAATCTATCGTTCAGTTTTCACAATAAAAGTAAAGGATTGAAGCGTTTCAGAAGGAATTTTTTTCAAACAAACTTCTAAAAATGCAAGTACGTTTCTTAAAGGTTTATGTGTTTAGATCATTGAATTCTATTTATTTTGAAATTGCTTACATAACTAACATCTACTTTGTTCATTATTCAAAGTAGTCCTGCGGTTGGATTACTCCCATTGTGTCCTTGGTAACTCGACTTAAAGCCTTTGCACCTCTAACTTCTTATCTAACATCATCTTGCCTTCAAATAAATAAATAAAAATAAAAAAATTAAAATCAAACTTTTTACTTTTCTGGTTAAAAATTTGCTGACTTCTGACATTATTTTTTGGTTAATATTTTGTTATGATATCTTCATTTCTCCCCCAATTTCAAGGTACGGATTTTTTTTCCTTTCAATTTTTAGAAAACAATGAGGTAAACCCACCATTGTTTTATCAAATGACATCTTTAAGAGTTTGAATCTGCTTGGTTTGCCCCACAGAGAATCCCAACACCACCCATTGCCCAATAGAACATGAAACTACATACTTCTGCAATAGTGATTAGCATATGCATACCACAATTATACACATAATCAATCATGAGACTTCCAGCTGCTGCTGCTTCGTTTTCTTTCTTTTCCTCCTTCGCAAGGTGCAATCGGCGATGGACCATAATAGGGGGCGCCGTTAGGTTAGCTCGAAGCAACGGACATCACTCCGACGAGTTTCTGTATTCAACTGCTAAAAGACACAACTTTTGCGAGTTGAAATTTTTAATCAATGTGGCATTGGCATAGTCAGCTGTCACCAAGAAGATCAACTTAGCAAAGAGGAATTTGAAATCTAGAGCAGCAGTGTGTGTTAAAGAAATCGACTCCTTAATATATATATATATATATATATATATATATATATATATATATATATATTGTGATGTGTGGCAAAAAAACAGTATCACAATTAATCTAGTCATGGTGCCTTTTAAGGGAGTAGGCTAGATAAAGCACAACTATGAAAATGTATATACTCGTGAAACGACGACGGTAATATCCTTCTCTTCGTTTTCATTTAGAAAAAACTATACTGAATCCTATTAGTCCACCAACAGCATCAAATACAAATACATACATAATTCTCTATTCCACCCAAAAAATGCAAACTGTACAACAAAGTAGAAGGAACACTCACAGTTTGGTCTCAGAAAAGTATGTTGATGACACGGCTAAGCCCTCCACATCATAAGTGCGGACCAGCCTCTGCCTCTTGCCAGGTGACTCAAGCCAACAGAACTCCAAATGGAAGGACTTGGATTCTGCCACACACTTGGCCACATCACACGGGCATCCCATGTACATGCCCCCAGGTAATAAGATTATTTGGAAACCGCCATCAATTGTAACCAAGTTGTCAGACATGGTACCCGTCCATTGCACGTTAGTGGTAACATCACCTCCACTGGATGTGGAAGTTATATCCTGTTACAGTGAAAATAAATAGAGAGAAAATAAGACAATTCGTTCCATGAAATAAAGCAGTAGTAATTTAATCAACATTTACAGCAAAAAAAAAAGTAGTAATAATTGATCCAATCCTCACTTCCATTTCCCAAGCCCAAAATGGAAGTGACTTGATAGTGCCATTGGTGAAACCTTCACCCTAACAAAATGGAACCCTGCTAAGTCTCTAATTGTCTCACGGGAAACATTTACAAGTAAAACCACTTGAACTACATTATAAAGAGACATTTTTCTACCATTTTGGTTCTAAAAATCACAATTAAAATTGAAAATAATATATCTAATTCTCAAGCTCATAAGTCTATAAAATAGGTCAAGGTACTTAATTTCTCAAATGGGCAGCAAGGGGAAAAATGACTGGATAAAACTTAAAAGTTGGCCCCATCATTTCTACCAATTACATGACCAATTCACAATTACATAAAAAGATCATGTTCATTCATCCTCTCATGTCAAAAGAATGACTAAACATAGGGGCAAAGTGGTACTTCCTTACCTTTTAAAGTAGTAGGTCGAGGGTTCCAGTCTCCAAAGGGGTAAAGTGGATGTGTGAGTGTGTTTCTTGCAAGAATAAATTCAACATCTAGTCAATCTAAATTACATGGATAAATTCACAATTGCAGAGGGATAACCTTGAAGAAATAAGATGGCTCATCAAAGTTGAGGTCTCAATCCAGAGAGTTTACCCATAGTTGGGTTTCACTTTCATCATGCCATAAACTACCACAGTATTAGGTGCCATATCATTCAAGATTTCTCTCAATCCTCTAATTCCAAGTAAGTAAATCAACTTAAATTATATTTCACTTTACGAGATATTAATTGCAAGGAGCAACACAAACCTGAAATAGCTGACCCATGTTGTCAATTCCAAGGATAGAAATTGTATCAGCTTCAGCAATTGTAGATCCATAAATACCACTGCGAGTAGTTATAGAATGGCCTTTCCATTTGCCAAGAAACGGCATAATCCTGTCCGTATTCTATTGCAACCATACAAAAAATTTATATCACAGAAAACACGTTTTAGGGCTGTAAAGACATTTCATTGTAGTGACTGTTCAAAAAGGCAATGACTAATCAGAGAAACTTTTCTCGCCCTCCATTAATTTACCAACCTTAGAATTGTCAAGGGAAGGAGGAATAAGCACTGCACCACCTCTTTCTTCAAGGAAGATAAGAAGCATTTCTAAAACGCCTTTTGGATCCATGATATGAAATGCTCTTGCTCGCATATCTTTCTCGAGTGAATAAAGGCAATTCTCACATACAATAGAAGGCTGACGAGAGGGAAGCTTCAGGTTTCTGGATGGCAAATGAAAAACGAGAACAGGGAAAATGAGGACTATGAAACAACAATGGCTAAAAATCAACTAAGAACTTATATGAGATCAGTATAAATGAAAACGACATTGTCGGAATTGGTACTTTATTTGAAAAGGCAAGTGATAAGTATATCGTGCAATGGCGCATCATTCACCTGTTTTGTTTATCATGAAACCCTATATGTGACCCTAGAATTGTTTGTTACAGGATTTGCATGCAAGATACATCATAGAAAGTTGAACTTAAGTATGTCAAGGTTGGAATCTTTTGAGTTATTATCAACTGATTATTATCTTTTACGGCAAGGACGATGACGATGACGATGATGATGAATGTATGTGCTTTCTACATGTCCAATGAAATGCCACTCCATCTCTTCAAAGAAAATCTTGTTCTACATTGTAATTCAATACATTGGTGATTTGGTTTGTTATATCCTCAAAGCCCAAGTTATGCCACAAGAGCTTACATGTTAACATCAAATCCCTAATCATACAAACTTGTGTACATGAAGGTGGTTAGAATCATTAATGGTAAAAATTGTATTAATATACCGAACTATTAAAAAAACAACTCATGCACCGACAACAATGTTATTTAATAAAAAGAGCACTAACTTTGGTGATTCCTCTCCAATGTCATCTTCACCTAGTACCCCTTGCCTCAACACGGTTTCCAACATGCCAGCTGTCTGGTACCGTAGTGCAAAGGCTTTCTCATTGGGGAAAAGTCCAACCTGCAAACTAAATCATAATGGATCTTCAATAGAAAAAAAAAAAAGGAGCGCAAACTATGATAAAAGCTAGATTCCAGGACGAATTGCCAGTGGATAACAGATAACTAGTCTTCAAAGTATTGAAGCACCTGTTGATATTTGTCCACAGTAAACATGTTGGTTTCTTTGATTTTGTACTCTGCCCATTCAGGCTCGCAATCATATCCAGAAGTTGAAGTGCCTGATGAGGGTTGCTTGATGTATAAGCTGAAAAGTTCAAGCCCATGAAGATACTTCACTTAGAGAGATGTAAATAGCACAAACCACTACCATTTATTCTTATGATTATAACTTGACATAAGAGTACATATTGTTCCTAATTTTTAAGAAATTTATGTCTGAGAAATGGTTCGTTAACCTCTTGCACTTATAGGCTACTTTTGTGGTTATATTTTCCTTGAAACAAATGTAACCTCAATGAATCACACAATGGAACTTCTACTTTATATTTATTTTTTTGAATTCAAAATGGAACCCCTCCAAAAATATAAGTAAATAAATAATATATATATTGTCAATCTAGACTTTTGGAAGCCAGTATTTTACTGATCGAAGAAGCCAACTCCGCGTCATATGCAATCTATCAGCCATCAAATCATTTAAAACTCAAAACAAAAGTCAAGCTAATCCCTGATCCTGGTCGTCATGCTATTCCAAGCAAAAAAAATTCCCTTGAATATTCCATGAAAATTAGATTGTTGCATTTGTCACCTTATATATGGTTCTTAACACGAATCAATTAAATTGAAAGAATCCATTGGAACAAGTGACAGTCATCAACATGAATAACAGTAAAAAACTAAATCACCACTTTTTGGTGAAATCGTATCACAGACCCTTTCCATGAGTCAAAAGATGTTTTAATTTCCTTCAATGGCCTCAATCTTGACAATAGATTGTACCAAAAACTGCAACATTATACATAACGGAATCCCTTCAATTCACACTGGATGCCAAAACGCATGCTTAATACACTTAAGAGTCATGGTGGTTGGTTAGACCATTTGACCCAAGGGCAGAGGCAACTTAGGCTCACATATTTAATTTAATAAAATTTGACAAAAAAACCCATCAAATTAACAAATATGCCCCCTAAATAGCAAATATAACCTCCTCATTAACAAATATGCCCTTCTTTCTCTACAAAATTATTATTCTTGCCCACCCTTTTACTTTTCCTATAAATCCAAAAATATTAAATTTTCATGAAAACAAATGTAGATTTTAGGGCTAATATTAAATTTTTATTTGGTTGGTGTGAATTTTTAATTGAATTTTCTTTTACGTTTTAGGCAAATGTTGATGTTAGCCTCAGTTTAATTTAGGATTTTGTTTTCTCACATCATAAATTATTGGATTTGCAATATTTAAGCTCTAAATTTTGTTTTTGTTCTGTTATATAATTTTCTTTCTACCTCTCTTTATTATTTTGATAATTCTTGTATTGCACGCTTGTGATTGAGATGTGTTATTCTATAGATTTACAAACTTCCTATAATTTGGATTGAAATAAGTTAATTTAGATGCATTTTTTTCTTGAATGTAAATATAACATGCCATTGAATTCTTCATTCTTGATATTTTTTATCCCCCTTCCAATTATTTTTCTGGCTCCGTCAATTAACTAGGACTACTAATTCTCATCACAAATGGAAAATAAAATTATGAATATCTAATTATTTACTAACAAAGGACATCAATGCTAATGGCAATATTATATACAACATACATGTATTGGCATATATATGGTGGTGTATTGAAGTGATGAGTTCCTAAATGAAGCTTACGTTTGAATTAAACTGAGGAGTTCATCTTCACCATAAGAACTAGCTGCAAGTTTTGTGCTCACTTTATGCATCAAATTCCCGTGAGCATCGAATTGCTGTCAAATCAACCAAACATCAAATAATAAATTACAAATGCTTCACATTGTTATTTACACATATACACAGACAGTATAATACTTACGTGGAAGGAACCAGTCCAGTGGCCCAAATTGAGGTTGATGAAGCGGCGAAGAGCGTCGATGCTCACAGATTGTTCGTTTCGTTTCTGATCTTCATCGACTGTGTTGGTGGAAAATAAGGGTGCTGTCTTCGTTGGCGGAGTTTTGGGGGTCCGAAATGAGTGAATGGGATGAAGAAAAGGTTTTACAGACCAGAAATTGAGTTGGGTTTTTGGGATTGTGTTTGGGTTGGGTGGAGTGGAAATGGAAGCTATTGAGATGGAACAAAGAGCTGCCATGGGGGATAGAGTGTGCGTCTCTATGTGCGTGAATGAGCGTGCCGCAGAAGTGGGCTCTTGTGATCTTATCCTAAACTCACCTGAATGCCTCAAATGTCATATACAACGGACCTCAAAATAAAAAATATAGTAAATAAATAAATAAATAAATTGCCATAGGGGTAATTTTGTATAATAATTGTAGGGGTGGCAAATGAGTGGATTGGGCCAGGTTTAGATTGGGTTGAAAATAAAAGGTCAACATAAGTTAAGATCTATATTTAATTCGCTCGAGTTAAAAATGGACCGGGTCAACCCGTTATGATTCGTAAACTTATTAATTATTATTTTTAATTATTATTATTTTTAATTTCTATTTTTTTTTAATTATTTATTTTTTTTAGAAGAAATTATTAGAGAGGGGATTGACGAGAGACAAATATAGAGAAAGAGGATTGTGAGTGGAAGAATTTTAAAGAGAGAAATGAGTTGAATGCAATATAGAATAGATGTGTATTGGTGTGTTTATTATGTAATGGATGAAATATTGGTTAAATATGATAAACCATATTCAACCTATCTTGACCCTTAAATTAAGTAGTCAAAGATTACCCAAGTCATCTTAACTTTCAAACTAAATATAGTTTACCCATAACTATTAAAAAACGGGCGGATATGAACGGGTTAATGATTTCTGACCCATTTTGCCACCCCTAAATAATTGTGAAAGATTCAAGTTTCTTAAAAATTATGGGTACTCAAATTTTACATATGTTTTTTCAAATTTTATTTTAACGTGAGTACCCATAATTTTACATATGTTTTGACATCCATCTCTATTTGAAAAACTAATTCGATATTGGTTCTACTTTTATGTTAAAATGAAGGAGGCTTTAGGAACAAACAACAAAAATGCCCTCTTTCAATCATTAATTGCAGAGGGTTAATTCATAAAATTAAATGTTCGACGTTTATTAATTTCACAATGAAAATGGTTGGGGGAAGGTTTCCTTTTCCTTTTTGATTATTATTATTATTATTATTACTACTACGTTTAAAAAAAAAAATTTCAATGTTGAAAAAGAATATGCAACAAGATGGCAACACCTAGATGAAATCACTTAGAAAAGATTCAATAATTAAAACATAAGCTTGAAAACAAACCACCCACAACGCTGTCAATGCCCCTCCATAACAACAAAATATTTGTAAAGATTAAAGAAGATAATCTGCAGTTAAAATATTTATTTTCTTTTTATCTTTTTTACATTATTATTAATTCTTTTTACAGCAAGGCACGCTGCACGCACCTAACACATTCATACACACCACTATTGTCACAACAGGGCCTCAACCTCCCATGATGGACTAAACCCTGGGGGAGAAATGACATTCAAATAAAAAAAAGTAGCTGATTCCTCTTTTTCTTTCCTCCTCCTCCACCTTTTTCTTCTCTGGGCAAACTAAAAGACTAAACCTAGTGAAATAGGAAATACATGATGAGATGTATTGGGGAAGGATATAGTTGAGGACAGTCCCTAAAAAGCACTTCAGATGATTATGAAATGAAATGAAAATATTTTCCCCCAAAAAGGAAAATATTTTCCTTTCATATGTACAAGTCTGGGAATGCAGGGAGTAGAAATATGTACATAATGGATGAACATCTTGGCCCTCCCACAAGCAGATGCCAATGAAGAACTTTAAATGCTAGACATCATCTCGCGTGAAGATGGTGCGTATTTGGCCATGATTAACAAAGTCGATCTTGTTCAATCTCACACAGCAAAGCACTTTCTCAGGCAGTTCTTCTGGTTTCTGTGCCTGTTTCAATTTAAGGAAGGAGTGTTAGTTTTAGGGACAATTGAAAGCTTTCTGTGAATGCTAAAAATAAGGCAAAGTTGGTTCCAGCGGATTGAAATTCACAACAACGATGGCTCAAGGAACTCTGATCTCTCTCTATTTATTTATTTATTTGGATGTTGCACTCTACAATTACATGAAATGTACAAGGAATTGAGAAGAAAAGATAGACAGTTGAATATGATATGGAGCACGAAAAAGTCATGTGGATCCTTGTTGAATTAGAGTCGATATAGATGCCATAGCATTGGAGAGTTCCAATTAACAATCTGTATGTGAAGTTCCCATCGCATTCAAAAAACAAATTGACAATACCAAAATCAAAAAATAAAAAATGCGAATGAAAAAGGCAAAATATTGACACTACTTGAAATTTGCTGAACTCAATCAAGCTTATTAGGGCCAACACTCAAGAAGATTTATATCTAAATAGGTATTGATCATTATCAAATAATCAGTTATTTCATTTTTTTCTTTCGGTGGTTTCTCGTTTTTTTTTTTTTTTTTCTTTCCGCGATGAGTTTTTCCTTATTCTGAGGATCAGAATGCAAAATAATGGTGGAACCCGGGATGCATCGAGATAAAAGTAGTACCTGAATTGTCAAACCCAAATCTAATATTCCATTTCTCAAACGTTCTCGGAATGATTCAAGTCCCTTCCTTGCGATGTAGCTGAACCGATGAATGTCGAGGTCAATCTCAAAGTAATTGGGACCCTGCATTGAAAAGGAATGTAAATCACAAAATCTTTCAAGTACAAGCAAGATGTTACTAACACGCTAAAGGGTTAAATTGCTTGTGCATAGAAGAGACATCTTTCAATGAGCATCGACAGGACCATACAACAGCACATTGAATTGCATATTTTATCTAAAAAGGGAACTCCACGAGGCTTGGCTTCAAACACCCACTACGCCTGGGTCCCTTTTATGGGTTAGTGCTCTCCCCGTTGCATGTCTCCCATGCTTGTATGTAATGGCCAGTGATAGTAGCCATTAAATAAAAATAGTTCTTGAGATCCCTCGTGGTGGTGAACCATGAAAGCAAGATTCCCATAGAACAACATTGGTATAATAAAGTATGAAGTGCATATTTATCTCCATGGTTTACTAACGGTTTAAAAGAATCAGCAGCTAAGTAGAAGAGAGCACATGATACTCCACCTGATAAAAATTGTGTTGAGGGCGTGAAAGGACTGGCTTTTCATTATAAGCATGTAAAAGCTTTCTTTCAGTAGAACTTAAGACCAGATCATCCGGATTAACCACCCCAGCCATGATCTTGAGCCTTTCTCTGAAAGGAACTGAGGATCCTTTTGCAAACCCTTTAACCTTTTCCATATCATCCTCTACCAATTTCTGTTGAGCAAATCAACATATTCAACCAACTGAAAGAAAATCAACTGAAAACAAGTTGCCCGTACAAGATTAAATGTAATAACTGTGAGCACCTAAATGTGGAAAAAAAAATTGAAATATATACAGTAGTTGCTTAAATACTGAGTTTACGTGCAAATTGTGTCAAAGTATTACACCAGTAGCCACCAACTTTCCCAAACTAATATATATGCATCTGGTTTGACAATTTTAAGTTATTCCACATGTTGCAGCCATCACGGTTCATTTCAGTAGAAGGAAATAGCGGATCAGCAGCTGAGTGCAATGTCTGCATAGAAGAGAACTTTCTTCCTTTGATCCATTATAATCGGATTCCAAACTAGGAAATAAAAAAACAAGCATCTCGCATTACAATGGAAATTGCAAGCCCTTCATAAATGGTCGCCCAGCACATGATATATATAATAACGCAACAAATTTACAGAAATCCCAACAGAACAGAACTATAAAAGTGCCCTGTGCCTTGAACAATTGCATATGAATATCCCGAAAATTTACTGAAGATACTTCATTTTAGTTTATTCTTCGTCATTACAGATGGTCTATTACAGTGCCATTTGTACCAGCTCAGGCCTCAGCATAGCTACTTTGTGAAATACCAAAAGTTAGGTCCGTCTCAAGTCCTCCCTCCCCACGAATAGAACTGGGCGATGTCCCTTTTCTTCTTCTTAGTTGTTATGGTTTGTTGTTGATTGGTCTTATAAAGTTATAATCTTATTTTCCAAGTTCTACATCACCTTCAAACAAGGAGACTTCCATTTTCTTAGCCAGGCCAGGAGACTCCATTGCACCAAAATAAAATAACTAAAAGTTAAAAAAGAAATGGAAAAGCGGATAAATGATGGTCTCATTAGAAACTGCCACTATTGTACTTTATATGGTAAATTCTCCTATTTAATAGTAGACTTTCCTGAACTAGAAATATCCCGAGGTAATTCCCAGATGTGTATTTTACAGGTAAACAAACTAGAACATGTAAAGAACAGATAACCCATTTATATTACAATTGTATTCAAAGAAAAATACCAGCCCAATGCGATAAAGTAAAAAATGCTATTCCGGTGGGGGCAATAGTAGAATTTTATAGGTATATATGTATATCAAAACTAGAAAAATAGGGTATAATACTAAAACAAGAAAAATCAGTGGGGGCAATTGCCCCCACTAAATTATCAGTGGGTGTTCTTATCAGAGGAGGAAGAGTAGACCATTTGAGGACTAAAGAAAATATGCCAATCAACAAAAAACGAGGATGATGTCACCCCGTAAGAATTACTTAAATTGAAAACATATTATAGCATGGCAATAAAGAGAAGATCCTCGGAAAGTACTAATAAAACAATTCCGAGGCAAAAATATTAGGCTCCTATTTTGGCTAGACAAAATTTAAAATAAAATTACCTTAATGTTGTCACTAAAGTGAGGAGAGATTTCATTCTCAAAATTCTCTGAAAGTTTGAAATATAGTACAAGACTCAAACCCTCCCCATCAGCATCACCAAGGAACAATGGAGTAGTATAAGTAGGTAACTGCCACAAAGCGCACAACAAAATTACAAGATAAACAACGAGAAACTGCACAAGCCACTACTCTCCATTCTTTTTAATGAAGTTGCAATTTAATATTCCACCAAAACAACCCACCATCTAGACACACAAACATAAGAAGGTTAAAGAGAAACTATTAGAAAATTAAGAAAAGTTTAAAAAATACCTGAATATTGAGAACAAGAAGTGGAGGCACCTTCCCATCTCCTTTCATGGTAGGAAGCTCAAGGTGTTGGGCAATGTGATTAACCTTTCTTGGGCATATAAAAAGATCAACACCAATTGGAGTATACGGACTGCAATTTGGCGCACGGGATTTGCGCTTATCTCTGCATGTTGAATTGTCAGAAAATTAAATGCAATAGCAAACTTATGTCTATATTGTTGCAGATGTCTAAATATCTAGATTTGATGATCAACAGATGGAAGTTACGAGCATACTTAAAATAGTTAGCACCACGGAGCTTAAAATTTGAGGGTTCAATCTCAGACCATCCTATAGTTGGCTTCCCTTCTGTACAACATGGAATTGTGAGTCCTGCTCTCGGACGACACAGAATTTTTTTTGATGCAGCTGCACAAATACTGATATGGTTAATGCTGTATCAAATCACTTTCTTAAGCAATAGTTATTATAGTAAACGTAAACAAGCAACGATACTTAACTGCCAGTAGCTCATAAAATCAAATAAGCTCGCTTATTTAAACTTGAAGATCAATTTTAAAAGGAAGTGTAAATTGAGGGATCACATCAATATATATATATATATATATATATATATATATATCACTTCACACAATTCTAAACATCGACAACCAGCCACAAAATATTCCAAAGTTGACCTATAAGCTAAATAGAATATAAAGTGCTTAACTGAAAACTCAAAAGTGAACTTGGCTTTGGAAATATAGAGATGTATATGCAAACACAGCATGGTTAATAGGTCCCCCTCCAGATTTCATGCAGACTTCTAGGAAATAAATCGGGAAATAGTGACACTAGAAAGTATTACATTTATAGATAGGAATCTTCAAAATGTGGAGTCCATTCCAAGAAAGTAATGCCACTGAAAAACAAATTGGTTTTACACTTACAAATTTCATTTCTCTCTTCTCTTTTGATTGATTTCCTCTTTAATGAAAGCCTAATAACTGTTGATTTCTTTCTCTGATCTTGTTGATCTGGGCTTGGTGCATTGATGATCTTGTTGCTGGAACTTGAAGATGGCAGCAATTTAGGTAAGGTAGACATCAAAATATTCTCTTGAGCTTTCTTTTGAGAATCATTTCTATGCTCTTTTACAATGCCAGGGCTTCCACAAGAACCATCTAATTGTTTCTTTCTTTTGGTGCAAAATCCTTCATATACACAAAATTGCAGCAATTATCAAGGAATTAATTAATGAGTCATACTATAAAATTATGGGAAAGGGTGATAGAACAAAAACTAAGGAAAGAATGTACAGTGTCCGAAAATCAATTTGGATTTATGCCAGGGAGATCCACTACAGAGGACATTTACCTATTAAGGCTGTTGGTAGTGGATTGTAGAAGTAAGCAAAAAGATGTATACATGGTTTTTATAGACTTAGACAAGGCATAGAGTTCCAAGAGACATGATTTAGTGAGCTCATATAAGAGTAGGATTACACCAAGGTTTGATGCTGAGTCCATATTTATTTACAGTAATCTTGGATAAAATAACGTAAGACTTGCAAAGATACCTTCCATGGTGCATGGTATTTACGGATGACATAGTGCTATTGGATAGCTTTAAGGAAGCCTTAGCAATAAAATTAGAGGCTTGGAGAATGGCACTAGAGTCAAAAGGCTTAAAAAGTAGTAGAACTAAATGGAATGCATGGAATGTAAATTTAGTAGTGATATTGGAAATGATAATATAGCAATAAAATTTCAAGACCAAAGCATTACTCAAAAATAATTGCACAAAAAGATAAGAGAGATTGATGATGATGTGGTAATAGGATCGGAATAGGTCGGACAAAGTGGAGGACACCAGTGAGGTTTTATGCGACAAATGAATACCGAATAAGTTAAAAGGGAAAGAATATAGAACAGTCATTAGACCGGCTATTTTATACGGAGCTGAATGTTGGGCGTTAAAAAAGAAATACAAACAACACATCCATGAGGTGGAAATGTGGATGTTAAGATAGATGTTAGGAATAACTAGGAAATATAAGATTGCTAATCAACAGACTTGGGAGAAATTAGGTGCAACGTCTATTAGCGAGAAAATAAGAGAGAGTCGACTTAGGTGATATGGGCATATATTCAAGGCCGACCTATGGATGCACCCATGAGGAGAGGAAGATTGATTTGCATGGAAGGTAAGAGACAAAGAGATCAACCATTTAAACATGGAATGAAGTGAAAAAAAGTGATTTTTTTAAAAAATAAATTTAGTAGGAAATAAGGCTTATAATAGAAAAGAGTGAAAAAAGAGAATCCACGTGGCTGACCCCGTTTGCACGGGATAAAGGCAAGGATGATGATGATGACGACAACAACCTTGGGCTCTGAAAATCCCACAAGTGTAAAAGTTATGGCAGCTAATCACCAGCAGAGCATATATCTTAGATTAGTTGGTCCACTGCAGTCAAAGCAACTGAAGGTGACTGTCACTTGTCGCATAACGTCTAATGTTATATCTATGATACACCATTTTCTATGCAGAAGGCAGCATAAATGCTGCAAATTCAGCCAAAAGAGATTGAAGTTCATACCTCCACGCACACTGCTGAAGTCATCATCTGATTCAGACTCCAAAATACTGCGCGAGTCAAACCATGCTTCCTCTTGGCAAATCACTGCACACACATTAGTATGTCATTTTCAAGTCTTTGAGCTATTCTTTTTGTAATTTTATTCCCTGAAAAAGTAAAACAAAATTTCTTCAAGAGAATAAAACAGGTATACATGAATTACTAGGTTTGCAAACAACACGGTCACCACATGACAGAAGAAAGATTAAGATTTATAGGTATCAAGAAACTTCCATAAGTTTAGGCCCTCTTCTTCAACCACAACAATAATTAACCGGAAATAAATATTATTAGCTCTTAGAAGGAACAGAAATAAGATTGATGAAAGTTCAAAATATTCACTTTTGATGGAATCTATTGGCACAACAATTAAGATTAAAAAATATATATATTAAGATTTATAAAGGTTGAGGCATAGTTAGTAACAAAGGCACTATTAAGGAGTAAGAACATGACCAAGTACCTTTGGGGAATCTAAATCCACCAATATAGAATCTTTTTCAATCATGAAAAACAGTAGACCATTCATGATGCAAGATTTTCCGAAATTTGGTGTAGCGAGATAATTAATGATAATATGTATTTGACAATTAGATATCTAAAAGTTGGCCCAATTAGGATTCAAAACAGGTTGAAATATCAGAATCAGAATTTTCTTCTGTAAATTTTGAAATTTCGCTGAAATTGAAAATGGGGAGAGAAAAAAATATATATAGAATCAACTGCTACAGGAAACAAAAGTTTAGTATAAATCAGGGGAGGTTGACCGCAGAATTTGTTAACTATTTGAAGAATTAAGAGTTAGGACTGCCCATTATGGGTGTTTATTTTGTAAAAAGAATGTTAATCCATATTAACCAATTTTGCTCATGAAATTGTAAACTAAAACATGACCCGACCAAGAAAATTTGTTAGGCAGAAAGAAAAGCCTGCAAATAACATTTTGTACAACCAGGTGGTGCTCCTTTCATTTGTCCAAAACCTTTTCTTTTGAACAACCAAAATAAGAGATTACTCGTATGATCGTCCAATCAGGTATAACCGTATAACTCTCATCTCTCTTTGCCAAATTATTTATAAAAGATAATTAAAAAGATAAACTATTAATGGAAACAAGATATACCATTAGCATCAATTTTACTATCGTGCCGCTGCAATTGTTTGAGATGGAATGCTGAATTGGGAACCCCAGATTTTCTGCAAGTGGTGGTTGCATGAACAAACTCACTTGTAGCCAAATCAGCTACACGAGTCCCAACATCGCTATTCCTTTTCCTGACTCTATGGACAGAATTAGAAAGCTTTCCATGGCATTTGCAGAGCTGGAGACGGAATTTCCTTGGCGGTTTAACTGTTCTAGATGGTGTTGATACACAAGTACCCATTACAATTACTAACTTTAACCTCTGTGACCACGAAAATTGCCTTCATACAAGATGCCAACAGCACAGCTATGTACAGCAAAAGAAAAACAGAGAACCTGATGCAAACCATATTAAACAGCATTCAAGAAACTTGAAATAAAGCAATCTTCATTCACAAAATAAATACAAATAAAACTAACAATGCCTCCAGTTCTTAAAGCAGTTCCAGTGATTACCAAGATAAGATGTTAACTCAAACAAGCAACAATAACCATTAAAGAAGTTATTGGTATTAATAATCCAGAACCTTGAAGAAAATACTACTGTGTAGAATTCAAATGAATGGATTTGACCTTGAAGAATCCATATAGTAGTATGACCTAGAAGACCATTTTGAACAAATGTTAATACGGCCCACTGGTCCTAACATTTCTGCTTCAATACCTTCTCAAACCACTTATACATATTTGAATATTTTTTACTAGCCATAAACAAATATTATCAACAACATGGTTCCAAACAAATGGAAATATGGCATTGCTCTTATCAATCAACAAGATCGAATTTCTCTAAAGGAAGTTGACAACATAAGTCAGTAGAGTTAAAACTTGCTACTTTCAAAACCCTATAACTGAAGTCCTCACTGAATCACAGCAATGGCAGGAACATAAGTAGATGACTTCAACAACCACCTTCAGGGAAAATAGATAAAGGAACTTACAAGGATGCCCCTAGAATCAACAAGAAATGGTACGGAGGAGGAAGGATTAAAAGAAATAAGAACTATTCTAGGTGTAAAATTTTATCTGAAACAGTGGATGAGAACTTCAACTCAAAGCAGATTGCCACAGCTTAGTACATTCTCTAACTCCATGTGTTGTACTCATCATCTTACCAGTATACCCACAGCTAAATCTAATAGATAACACAATATCCCAGTCCTAATTATCTTAGGAAGAAACTGCAACATTTGAAGTTAGAACCATACCATACAGGATCATAGCCCCAATTGGTAGTGACTAACTATTGGACAAATGTATTGAAGCATCGCAAAACATATACTAAGGAAGCATTCGGTCAAATGGAAATGAAAATGAAGTTTTACTTTTACATAATTTGAAGACTTGTTCTACAATAACTTTCCTTATAGATGATGGGGTTCAAACACGGAGTCCACTCCATGGTGATCCACGTCCCATGACCATAATTTAGAGTAAAACTTGAAACTTCATGACATTAAGCATATAATTGTTCACAGCTAAGGATATGGAATTATCAATTGCTAGAATAAGTGATATAGTACCATCTAAGGGCTGTGTAAAATTTGATGAAGGGTTTCCTTCTGCGAGACATCACCATACATACCTTTTGGTGAACTATCTCTATGCAAATTTGTCACACAAACAAGTGTAATATAGTGTAGAAAATAACAAATTTAATTCTTTCTTTTATATACAAGACATATTTGGCGAGATAAACACACAACAGGCTGCTTTCTAGAACTTCATCAAAAAACTTAGATTTGCACAGGTTAAATATTAGAATACATAATTATGGAAAGAAAAAAAAAAAAAAAAAAACAGCATACATATGCAAGAGCATGCACACAAACACACGCGGATATATATATATATATATATAGAGAGAGAGAGAGATCACTGTTGTTAGTGAGGATATTCTTTAAGTGTAATTAACTACTCTGAAGTGTCTGCTGATAAGGCAGTGAAGCGGAACAAGTGTCATGTAAAAAATCAAATGCAATAAAATGAAAAGCACTCCACCAAAACGATGGACTTTGCAATACCTTTCCAGCAAATACAAATCTTACCAATCATGCTATCATAGTGAAAGAAAATGAGGAATCAACCCTTCCAAATATGTATATTGGTATCAGTGACATCATATCATTTTATTATAAATTCGGACAAATTAAATCACATCGTGTATATTATAAAATACCACCTATAATAGTTAAGAGCATACCTTTGCCAATAGCAGACATCTATGTAATCTGAATCCAATTATAGCCTCTGTTGAGAGGGTGAACAAGAAAATGAGGATCCTTTGTGAAAAAATTTAGTCACTAAAATAACAAGTATGACACTTGTAAAATTGGAAAAAATCAACATTCAGGTACCCAATTCATAAAAGTCTGATAATGAAATTAAAATTATAAGCCAATTCCAAGAAATTAAAAAATTAGTAAGAGAATATACTTATAAAATCATATCCAATAACCAATGGTTCTAGCGTTCTAAGTGCAAAATAGGGGTGTGAGTTTCAAATTGAATATATATATATATGACAATTTTCAGTGTCCCCGTGATGGTTTGATGAATAAGAACAAAAATATTAAACCTCCAATGAATAAAGTGAAACAAGAAATGCAGAATACAGTAAGCAACAAAAGTTTTACATGGCTTTCAAAAATGGATCAAGTGTTGAAAACATATATATAGAAACATAGATATATGGTTATACACACAAAAACATGGGAATGAAAAAGTAGTAATTGTCAACATTAAGTTGAGAATGGTATTACTATTATATATAAAAAATGAAGAATTAAACATAACAGACAACAAAGATAAAATTGAAATCTTATTCCTGAAAATAATAATAATAATAAATCTGCATCTATCATAAAGATATGAATATACATATACATGTTGATGATATACACGTATTGAGAAAAGAGAGAGGAACCTAATGATAAGAGGTTCGCGGCAACAATGAGGAAGACCAAGAGACGATTATCGCCTCCCTCTCTCTCTCTCTCTGCAACAAAGACAATCGAAGCGTGGGAGAGGGAGACAGAGAGTGGGTCCGATTTCGGATCCAACCCAGATACAATTCCGAACCTTGTTCTTTTTCCAAGCTCCTAATATATGGAAGATGAAGAAGAACGAGGACAGAGACGTCCTTGAGTGTTTACGTTTTTGCGTGCTTTCGTGTTTTAGTACTAATATTTTTGTGGTTTTCATTGCAGAGCTTCCTTCCCAGTATTTTCAATGTGATTCACTTCTATTTTTGTCACACGCCTTGGCTGGTGTAGAGAGAGACACAGAAATCGCCAAATATAATGTGTGCAGAGAAAAGACTAAAAATGAGATTCTTTCAGTAAAGTGAAGTAAGGATATATATATATATATATATATATTCCTAGTGGTTTGAATGGAAAATTGCCTCAACTTAGATGAAAGGACAGAACTGGATCTGGATGCCCCTGGTGGGCTCATTTCTTGGATTACAACTTTAGGTGTTTTGGGCTTCCTAGTGGGCTTCTTTGGGGCCATTATGAAATCTGATTTGATAGATTGCATTCATCAACTCGAAACCGGTCTATTCTTCCTTGGGACCTTTGGGCCGCTTCGTTGATCTTGATCTGCTTTTGGTGTGGGCTGGGCGGGCTGGAGATCTTTAATGTTGGTGTCCATCGCACAGGTGTCGGTCTTTTATTGGAGTATAATTTTCCCATTAACGTGTTTGAAAAATAAATATACAAGAAAAATATACGAAAATTAAAGTGATGACGTAAGAAAGATAATGATTTGATGTGGACCATTTTTTCTTTTTCCTTCCTGAGAATTTATGTGCGGACATTTAATTTCTTTCCCTCCTCAATAATAATGTGACGTGAAACTTTTGTTAATATTATGAAATAATATAAAAAAACAGCCTAAACTTTTGTTAATATTATATAAGAAAACTAACATGCAGATTCAAAAGGCTTAACTAAAAACAAATGCATTCAACTTTACAATAATACACCTAAATCATCAACATTTAAGTAACATATTCAACTTTAGAGATAACATTTAGCACATATATTCTCAATAACACATCTCATATTCTCGCATATGTAAAATTACTTGTTCGTAAATAATATAATACAATAAATTGATAATTCAAACAATTTAATATCAAAATATTCTACAATAATTTTCACCAATAAATCACCTCCAAGTTTCAAAACATTTACCAAAAAGTATGTCTCGCCTTCTAACCAAAAAATACAAAAAAAATTAAAAATAAAATGGGATTAATTTAATTATAATAAAATAAAATAAACTCTTTAGGAAACCTTATTTACTAAAAAAATAAGCCTATCAAAAAAATTTTACCCCACTGTGGAAAAATTCTCCGCACCACTATACATGGAAAAATCAGGAAAACAATAATTTATGGGAAACTCATGAGCATCCACATGATCTGGATAAGGTTTCCTATACACCGCCCAAGGACACCTCTGCCCTTGAACTACCTCAGCCTGGATTAGGGCTAAAATTTGGGCTCTATCGATTCCTGCATTATAAGCTGGTGGATCGATAGGCTGAGGTAAAGCATACGGATCAACCCATTCCCGTTGTGGGTTTGCGATCGCATGCCCCCCGGTAGCTGCTCATGGTATTGGTGGACCTTGTTGATTGTTCCTCCATCGATTCTGATTCTGATTGCCCCCAGCTCTTGCTGTTCCCTCAGAGGTAGAATCGGCACTACCGACAAGCATTGTAAATTCTGATTTTGTTGGCGAATCATCGGTGGGTGTTTCTGTTATTATTGGCGGATTGCCGTTGGGCATACCAATAGTTACATTCGGTTGGGCAGGTCATGCCACCGTTGTTTATGGCTCTTGAAAGATGTTCATCAACGGTAAAGAAATATGTTGGAAAATTGATTCATAAGCTGCCAAACTTTCAGCTTGATCATGATGACTTTGGGTAGCCGATATCTGAGCCATCATTGCTTCCATTTTCTAGTTCATCTCCCCCATTTTGGTAAATACTTTCTGATTAACTTCTCCCATTTGGGCTTGCATCTTATTACTAATTTTACTAATTTGTACGTGTTGGCCATCAATTCTTTGTATTATAGCCTTAAACATCTGTGCTAAAGGAGCATTGGATGGTAAAGCTGATTCAGCCACATTTGATCCGCCTGGGGCGATTGGTTGGTTCATATCTTCGACATCATCTTCCAAAGTTACAACAACTTTTGAATTCTTTGGCCTGAGAGGCATTACAACTCACTCAACCAGTGGATCCCACCGAGCGTGCCAAGAATGTTGACCCTAAAATCGGCTGGCTAAAGTTTCAAACGATTGTATGAAGAGAACATCAAACTCTCATGTAGGTTCAAAACTACCCTTTTAATAATGAATGAATTGTACTGAACGTGATAATAAAATAAGGGTAAGGGAACTAGATATAGATATAAAAGGGAAAGAGATAGACAGAGAAGAAGAAGATTAAGAAAGATAAATATAGAGAATATCAAGATTGCTAAATAAAGAAAGTTGAATTAGAGAGGGAGATTTCGAGAAAACAAAATTATAGTAAACTATGATTATGAGGGTGCCGAACCTCTTACAAAGAATACTTCTACACTTATTTATAAAAGAACGTAACCAAAATAACAACTCCTACACTTAAGCACTTTAATTACACCATGACTTTATAGCAAAACCAATTACATATTCAAATTAAACTATCTCAAAAATAACCATTAGCATTATAATCCTTATTTATAGTTTAATTTGAATCTATCTCTCCATACCACCTTTGCATGCAGTTTCCACAAGTCAATTTCATATCCTTTCACATGTCAACTGTCATTTTGCCAAAATGGGTGCCAACAAGTGTTGGTGCCTTAGCTATTGAACAAGTATCTATTGAAGTTGGCGAAACTGAGATGCTATAAATTGTCAATTTATCCATTACTTGTTCTGTTTCTTAATAATATTTCAATTGTTATATACATAAAAAGTGTATGCTTTTGTGACTTGATTAATAAAGTGATCTACGCATGTTTTGTTTTTTACAATGCTAAGGGTGTGTTTGGTAGGGTTGATTTGGATGGATAGGGAGAGAAAAGAAAAGAGAGGATAGTGCGAGAGTGTGTTTGGTTGGGTCAAGTGGAGAGAAAATAGAGGATAGGGAGAAATAGGGAGGGATATCCCTCCCTATCCCTTATATGTTTTCTCTCCCAATTTGAGAAGACAGGGAGATAAAGGATAGTGGAGTAAGTTATAAATTGCTAATACCAAAAATACCCTTAGAAAACAACATACTGAAAAGTAATTCCATTTATATCCCAATTATATATTATTCTTATGTGGTTTACTAGGGCAATAACCAACTTTAATTGTTCTAAGGCAACGCTGCTTCCTTCTCTTCTCTAGCTTCGGGCAAAGGCGACATTGCTTTTTTCTCTTCTCCAGCTTCGGCCATCACCACAAATCTTCCTCTAATCATATCAAGTCAGTATATTGCAATCAATTGATGCTTTTGAATCAATTTTTGGATTTGTTTTCCTTGTTAATTTTCAGTAAACCCTAGTTTTTAATTTGCTAATTTCTGTGTTGGATAAATGATTGCAAAATATTTTCCCCCTTTTCCGAATGAACCAGAGTTTTTGTTGCTTACCCCAACTGTGGGGGATAAGGCTTTGTCGTCAAATATAGAATTGATGTATTTTTGCTATTATTTGGAGTTCCACACCCATATACCTAATCTATGGTTTCATTCAGATGAATAAACATGCTTGGTTAAGACCTCCTTATAATATTTGAATGTGCTTTCAACTTATTGAGTATCGATATTACTTACTCAATTTGCATCAATACCAATACTCTGGGAATGGATCCTGATTGCTAGTGAGCATTCTATATGTTAATAATATTTTGGTGCTTTCTTGTGCTCCTTTTTTCTTTTTTCTCAAGTGATGAATGAAGTGGTAAAGTCATGAAGTATATGCTGGCTAAAAAAGGTTAAGGACCACACATCCTGTCATTTCGGCGAGTCAAAATTTGGGTATTGTATTTTTATCATACATGACACTAGATTTCTTGAATTCTTTGAGATAAATTGATTAAGTAAAACATGTACTTCACTAGAATCTATATATCAAAGTGTCTAATTGACTTTGTCTTTATGTCGACATGTATCAGCAAGCCACCTTGTGGGTTTCTTATGCTGTTGCATCAAGAGCCCACTATCTATGTGACAAACTGACATCTATCTCATGTTATTAGAATAGATCTAGTTATCATTCAATTATGCTTGCGTATTTGCAAGTGTGAACCTTGAATTTTTTTTTTAGATTCAAATTTACTTGGCTTTATATCCTAAATGCTTGTTTATCTTGTCAGCACCAAGTACCATATTTTCCTGTATCAGTCCAAGTATTATATAGTTGAACATATTTAAGATTATAGATCACCTTCGAGGATATGTTCCAAGTTCGCTCTAGACACAAGTAAACAACCATTTCTATGAAAAATTAAAAAGATTTCATAACATACAACCAAAACTCAAAAGCCTAAATTGGGACAAATTTAAGCATAACGTATTGTTTCTCTACCTTCCTCTTTAAAGCCTTGTTGGCGTCAAGCAAGAGCTTTTCCTGTTATTACACAATATAAATTGGGTGTGCTTTAGACCAAAGAAGATTAGAGGAATAACATATGCTATTTAGTCATGAAAATAATTACTGGATAATAATAATTAGACATGAAAATTCTTTAGCATATATAATTGTTGTCTTTTATAATTGTTGTCATTGGTCATTATTCATCAATTTTAATTGCTTTCAATTTTTATTTTTTGGTTATTAATATATCATTTTGCATTTTACAATTTTAGATGGAGAGACAACGAAATGAGATACTAAAATTTCATTTAATGTGGGAACAAAGACGACGTAAAATTGCAACTCTAGTCACTAACATTGCTGTGTATTGGTTTATGCGTTGAAAATGTAGAAACTATATAGATAAACCTATTACACAACCAGAAATTGAAAGGCAAATAATACAGGATAAACTAATAAACGAGCTTAGGGTAAGTGTGAAATGTCGTAACATTACTCGTATGGGACTAGAAGCTTTTCAAAATTTCTGTGAGTTGCTTATGAGAGATGATGGTCTTCGACCCACAAGACATGCAAGTGTTGAAGAGCAAGTTGCCAAGTTTCTTTACATTATATCACAAAATGTGAGGAATCGGACAATATCATTTTTCTTTTGTCGCTTTGGTGAAACTATAAGCCGTCATTTTCATAGTATGTTAAAAGCAATAATATCCTTAGAAGGACAGTTCCTCAAA